AACTGTTACTCTGTAAAAAATAAATTTATTATTTAAAATTTATAAATTTAAAACTTAAAATTCATATCATCCAATCAAGATATCACTACAATAATTAGCACCAAAGCCCAACCTGGTGGGCCGAAACCCCCAAAAAGGCAACAAAAGATGGTTCGATGGCATTTATACATGCAAGCTTTGGTTTGTGAGGCCTAAGGAAGAATTGCCATTGAACATGTTGACAGCTGAGGGTGAAGCGTGAGTCTTATTGGGCGAATGTACAGTCCACAAAAATTTGCAATGCTTAACAGAGATCTAAACTCTATGAGCTACCAAGATAGTGCGACACAAATAATAGCAGCTCCATCTCTTTAAACATCATTTCAGGATTTAACTCCTAAAGATATATATATATATATATATAAAGAGAGAGAGAGAGTATTTCTAATAGGGATGAGATTCTTTGAGAAATTAATCTTACGACTAATGGCTATGACACTACCATGAGGGGAAAAAAATTAGATAGAGTTAGGTTTTAAGAATACAACCATAACATTTTTGGACTCCACAAGCATCTATAGAGATACTTAAAGATAACTCACTAACAAGCTTCTCACATCAATAAAGGGATCTAATCAATCTCATGGATTATAAAGATCTAATTTTTTTCTAACACTTATCATCTCTCTCTTTTTTGGGGGGTTATTCAAGGCATTTTTACGATTGGCTAGTCCTTTAAAAAATTAAAATATTATTTAAAAGGTTGTCTTCTCCCAAAAAATGATTTTCTTATGCATTTTTAAAAATTGAATCCTAAAATAATGTTTAAGAAGTTCAAACCACTATCATCTATGTCATTCTCATTTAGTTAATGCTTATAATCCTTGCAGTTGTATTAAAAAAGTATCTCAACTTTCTCATAAAGCCATCTCTTTAGTCGTCTTACTCATCTCGTATAACGTGTAAGTCCCCATGATAAGAAGCTTCTCTCCCTTATGAATAACCAAGCCGTCAACATAATTTAATCACTTAAGTTTGATATTTTTGTAAAACTATAAATGCATCCATTGGGATACAAGAAATACTACTACAGAATTTATTAAATTAGACTTCCCATATTTAACTATTACATGATAAAAATAACATAAAAAAATCACTAAATACTTAACAGTTTTTTCAACACAACCGTCAAGTATCTAAATCCATACTTGACGATTATATTGAAAAAATCATCAAATATATATTTAAACTTAATTATTGTTGGACAGAGATATAGTTGATGCTTGTTTAAGGATAACTATCAAATACTTGCTGATTATCTTCAAAAAAGTATCAAATTAATTATTTTTAAAAAAATTGAAACAAAAATAATTACTCAAGTATGCTTAAAACATATTTGATGGTTGTTTTAAAATAAACGTCAAATATGTAATATTTGACGGTTGTTATAGGATAATCGTTAAGCATTTGCATTTTAATTACCTTTAAAACACTTTCTCTCCACATTTTTACAACTCAAAAGTCATCCCAACCCCACCCAAATCACTTGAAACCCATTTTTCGTCACTCCAACAACCAAAATGCATGATTTTGCACTTAATTCATTGTGGGTTTTTCATTTTCAAACCTAATCATGCTTGTGGGTACTTGTTTTCTTGGATTCATTGCTTGTGGTTTGCCCTTTCTCCATTTTCTCATCTATTCACTTATTCTCGAGGTTGGCTCTTACTTTTCAAATATTTAATCCTCATTTTGAATTTGTGGGTTGTTAATTTTGATTTATATATACAATGTGTTATTTGAATGTTAATTATTTTGTCTCTCCATTGATGTTCTTGTTAATAAGTGTTTGAAATTTAAAACTTTAGGTATTTAACTATACTTGTTCTATAATTGAAAGATTACTTTTGATTTTTTATTGCTTGAATTGTCAATTTTTATATTGCTAGTGTTTGAATTGATTGAAAAGTGACTTATGGTGTTTAATGTGAGTTTTATTATTTTCATTAAAACTTGGCTTCTTATTAATGTTGTTATTGTTGTTGTTGGATCATAAATAATATTTGTTGTTGATTATATAGTTTTTTTAGGGCATAAATCCTGAGTAATATTTACTTTTAAGCCGTTATGTTGTCAATTTTTTTTAATTGTTGTTGGATATAACTTTATGTGATTGTTGTTGTTGATGTTCCTATTGTCATTTAGATTAATAAAGAAAATAATCCAAATCCGGCAAAGGACCCATTACCAACAAAAAAAAGGGTATATACATTCTACTTTTCTAACAAATGGATCCTCATTAAGGTATTCATTTAATTGATCAAGTTTTTAATTAAAAAATTATGACATATTATATATTTTCATTAATATCTATGTGGTTTTTTTTATAGCGTCCACTCCAACTAGATCAAAGTAATGACTGTTGTTATTACCTGATGAAATTCATGAAGGACATCATCACCCATGCCTCTACCATATTATCAGATAGGGTATATTAAATTTAATTATATTTAAATTATAAATTTTAACCCAATTTAAATAGCTAGTTATTAACTTAAACTTATTGCGACTATTTGCTTATAGTACTCCAAAAACATCTACTGCATTCGTTATACAACTGCACATGTAGAGAAAATCCTTGAAGAGGTGGTCCAAGCCGTGTTTAATATGTGGGTAGCAGTAGCGGTTAGGCTAGCCTAATAGTTAGTTAATTAGGTATGTACATTTTTCATGTTATATTTTTCTTGGGCAATTCTTATGCCTGGTCACTTAATTAGTTTTGAAAATTTAATTAGTTTGCAAGTTAGGATTTACAGGGCTATAGGTATAGAACTTTAATTTATTGTTCTTGAATAATAATTTTGATAGAAACATTCATTTTATAATTTTTAGATATTAGCTGGCTGATTTTATTTTCTATTTTGTGTATCTTTATGCATGAGGATTGCTTGAAAAGTAGTTCATCCTTAAAAAAAAAATACCATGAATCTTTGACGATTATTCACTATTACATGATAAGCTTTTAATAGCAGATAAAAAATATTTTTAATAGTGATTATAAAATTGTTATTGTTTCAAAGGATGTTAAAAGTATGTGACTTTTAACAGTAGTTGTCTAACCGCTGTTAAAAATAAACTTCCAATAGCAAGTCTATGCTTGCTCTTGAAAGTAGATCATTGATTTTTTTTAAATCACTTTTAATACTAGTTCTAGCCAAAATCGCTATTAAAAGTGAACTTTCAATAGTGATTAAGGCAAGAATCACTATTAAAAGTGGATTTTCAACACCGATCATGGCTAGAACCATTGTTAAAAGTGATTTTAAAAAAAATTAATTTTGTTTCTGCTCATTTTTCCAATTCTTGCAAATGAAAATATTTTACACAATTTATTACTCGCTAGCTAGTTCAAGTACATATAAATAATCTAAATTTAATATAAAATTTTATAGAAATTATACAAAACTCAAATAGTCTTATACAATTTCTTAAAAAATACCTAAACTTTACATACCATTCACAAAATATGGTGCCCAACATGTGAAGATGTCATCAACCTCTTCCTTAGAAATTGGATTTGCAATGTCAAAAATTTAAATTAAAGTATAAAATTGTAATTAAAATATTAACCAGTTAATTCAAATAACAATATAATTAGCTTTTAAAAAATATAGTTACCTCATTTGTAAATTCAGTCATTCTCAATGTAATAATGTTGACCATATGTCTCATCACATATACGCCGCACAAATTACTCTTCGGTGGTTACTTATGACTCTATATAAAAACACATATATGTATATATATAAATAATTGAGAATCAATAATAAATATTGATAGTTGAATATTTTAATATAGTGTTAATTTTAACTTACCTTTGGCTCAATCCACGTAGGATCCTTAGTTCATGTTGATGCTTTTTCAGAACCATTATTTGATATGTTTTCATTGCCCTATGATCAACAGCACGATATTTATAACTAATATATTCATAAAAATTAATAGTTTTTGTACAAGTACACTTACAAGTTTATCGTCTTTTTTATGTCCTCGTTTGGTTTGTAATTGAAGGAGCATAAGAAGAGGACTATGTTACTCTTCAATGAAAGAACAATTAATTACCAATGGTCCCTACAAAATATAATGAGTTATTAGAAGAAATTCATATTTAACAAAAAAAAACTATCAATCATAAATTAATCCTTATGAGTGTATATATGGAGTCATAAAAATATTCTTTTTTAACTTCACATATTCATTGCTGGAGATATCAAAATGTTATTTTAAGGGAGGGGGCGGCCGATGGGGATAATGGAGGAGGAAAAAGGGGTGTGGGGGAGGAAGAAGGGGGTGACCGATGATGAATAATAGAGGAAAGGGGGTGAAGGCGAGAGTTTTTTTTAAGTAAATTTGAATCATTGTTGAATATAATTTTTTTTATTTTTTTAATTTTATCTTTCAATAGTGGGTGAGGGCTACCTGCTACTGAAAGTTGTAGTATTTTTTTTTAAAATTCACTTTCAACAGCGAGTATGAGCCACCCATTGTTGAAAGTTGCAACTTTTTATTTTATTTTTTAAATTCCCACTCCATTGTTGAAAGTCCTATATTAATTTTTAATATTACAAAAATACTATTATCTCTACCTTTAACAATGAATGCGTTTTAATCGATGTTAAAAGTTTCTTGTAAAATACAAATTCTACACTAGTGTTTATAAATAATCGTCAAGTATTTAAAAAGTTAACTGATATTTACAAATAACCGTAGGTAAAATGAGTCCTATTTTTTTTCATAATTACTTAATAATTATTTATAAATAACTATCAAGTATTTTCTTCCAGAAACAATTATATAATCATATATTTGACTGTTATTTATCAATAAACGTCAAGTAATGCTTCTAAGCAAGTAATATATGACGTCTCTTTACTTAATGCTTAAAAACTATCAAATATAAGTTAAAATAATTGTCAAGTAATGAAATCTTCTGTGGTAGTGAAAAGAAAGTACATCCTGAATTATATACCCACAGCTTCATCTTATGTATAATTCTTTAACCATACATTTGATCGATCTTCAATATACACAATCCAGGATACACAGATAAATGAACAACCTCAAATCTCAATATTCCAAGTTCATAAGTTGTAATATATACACGAGGAAAGAACAAAAGAATAACAAACCCCTAAAGCAACAAAAGAATCCACTAAATATCTTGATTAATTTTGTAAATCCACGACCTTACTAAACTAAAGAACTCGTGCGTAGCCCGAGGGAGAGATTATTCAGACTTGTAATTCTGAACAGCCGGGGATGGAGGGCTCCTAGAAGAAGGAGAGGGCTCGGCTTCGATCGGCTGGTCGGAGAGGACGGCAAGAATCCGGCGAATACTGGCGGAGCGGGCGGTCCTGAAGGTGGTGGATCTGGTAACGGTATTGGAGAAGATGTTGGAAGAGTTGGAGAGGATAAGATAAACCAAAGCTTGAACGAGGAAGAACAAGGCAACCTTCACCAACATGTCACCTAAGCTCATGACGAACTCCATCTTTAACTTGATCAAACTCTGAATCGAAACAGAATACAACACAGATAATTGCTGAAGCGGGAATATGATTGTAGGGATAGATGAATGAATGGATTGAGGAGATAAGACGCAGAGGGGTCTCTATATAAAGTTTGATTGCGCGTGGAATGGTAATTAGGAGCACGAGGAAGTTGGAAAAGTCAGAAGGGATAAATGTCCAAATACAAATGAACTTACTTAGATTGACCTTTGACCTTGTAATAAAAAGGAAGCTGAGGTGGAAATTTCATTGTTATCCATAAGGTACTATGTATGAATTATTAAATGGGGAAAGGGTATACGTGGGACTTGGGTGTGTATTGGCCTAGTGGGGGCGTTCAGAATTATTTATTGACGTACCAATCAAACTTGACCCATAAGAAATGTTAGTTGGAAGTTTCTTTGGGCAAATCAAGTAAACGGGGCTGTTTGGTCAAATTGGGCTGATTCCTCGTCAGCATCATCTCTTTTTTGCATAATTCCTTGCGTATTTATCATTTCTTAATCCACTTAATTCGTTTAATTTACTCTATTAATAACGTGTAAATCTCACATGCTTTGAGAAGTGGATGTTCGGATCGGCTAGATCATCAACCAGATCACCAATTGGATCAGAAAACTGTTTTCACTGCTGAATCGGGTTGGATCAGAAAACTGTTTATAACATACATATATATATATATATGATTTGAAATTATTTTTAAAATAACCACAAGATAATTTGGCTACGTAATTATTATGATCAAGGGAGGTTTACCAAATCATTAGCGAGAGGGTGTCGTTTTGCAATTGCACAGCCGACGAAGAAACCGGAATAGAAGGCAATGGTGGGTTGGAATTAGTCACGTGCGGGTATTACGTGTTGACATGTCATTGCAAATGCCGAATTATCGGCTCAGGAACGCTTCAGAACCGTTTACGTGTCACGCGACGGTGCACCCATTACTTGTCCCCCGACCTTCTCCACCATTCGCTTCATGCCTCTAATCATAGGTTCTACCTTCGGAGCCATAAAACCACATTTAATAATTACTGTTATCAAAGCCTTTTCATTTGTGAAGTTAGATTTTCGTAATGTTCTTGGTGTTTAAAACCAGGGATGTGAAGCTGGAGCGCAAGACCTCGAAGGAAAAAGGTGAAGGAGTACAAGGAACTGCATGGTCCCTCTTTAAAGAGGATAAAGTTTAACTCTCTGCGCCGCAGCCTCGCCTAAAATTTTTGGATGCTTTGAATCTAACTTGTTACCATATAATTATGAGTTAACTATAAACTCAGCATTTATCTTAAGTAGAAACATCACTGATCTTCCTTCAAATAAAATGAATATCCACCCATTGCATTTAAAATCATTTTATTAATATTTACGTACAATGAATATCAACCTCGCCAAAATCGATGTGTCTCCAGAACATGATTCTTTCTACTATAAACTCGGGCCATCAATAATGTCTTGTAAAAAGAAACTTTACCTGAGTCTTAACAATTTGTACAATCAGCCCCCCAACCCACGCAATTACATACCATTACTACAGCCAAGTAATTATAGTAGTCAACATTAACTTCATAAGTGAAATCAAAGACTGGTTCATTCCAAATGATTCAGTGGAGATCAGTTCAGATACATGGCAGATGATACACGAAACTCACAAACATTTTATTGCAGACAACGTGAACGGAAATTAGCTTTTGACAGACTGCTTTCTATGGACAAAACGAAGAAGATTGAGAGCCTGGGGAAGCTAGGAAGAGGAATGCACAGCACACATGCACCCCACTAGTTTATTGTAATGTTCACCTCAGTACTGCAACTAGCTAGCAAAATTATTAAGCTTCATAGATAGACCCGGTTTGCAAAAGTAGACCAAAACAATCATGAAGATGCACTTCATCGTGAGATCCTTGCGTGGTTTTATGATAGATTTGATCTACTCTCATTTTTCAAACTGAGTCTACCTAAAATTTTTCCAAATTACCCCCAAAAAAGAGGGGAAAAAAAATAAAAACTAAAAAGATTAGCACTGCTGCCGCTGCAGATTTATATTTGATTAGCCGATCTATAGTGACACAACTTCGTGATTTCTTTGACATATAAAAAACCCTATGCCTGCAAGAGGAAAACAGATTACCCATTATTAATTCATAAACTGTAATAGCTAACAGCAATTAAAAGGATAGTCAAATCGAAGAGTATAACTAAACTATTCATGGATATCCATTTTAACTGCAAAAGTTTGAGAGTTTAAATTATACTTGGCATCATATTAGAGCCTTTATAACTGAATGGTCCAGAATTCGATCTTTTTTGCTTCCCATTCTCACAATAATAGTAGGCATGGTGGAAATATGCTGCTAACAAGTTAAGCTTTTGCATTGGTGATTGAAAAACCAAAAAGTCTCTCATATTTAGGGAAACCAACGAAGGCTAACGCATATGCACTTTACTAATGCTGAATTGGTTATGATCTCCCTCCATCACCAGCTTCAATCATTTCAACAAACAACTTCTGCTGATTCAGTTTCTAGGCAAGATTACAAGTCAGCACTGGAAGAATTAAGTTATTACAGTCTCCAAACTTGCAACAACACTACTGAAGACAGCAAAATAAGCAAATCCATTTGATTTATTGCCCTTCCCACTAAAGCAATCGTGACCCAACTTACACAAAATGCATATATATGAGCATCTGTAATAATTCATGAAAGTGAGGGGAGAGGGTGTTGTTCTCACATGACTCACAAACCAATGCAAATTGTGGTTGAATCAAACTGAATACACAATTTGGCCCCTAAAAATTATACCTTCATGCTTAGTCCTTACTTGCATTCCTCTTTTCAAATTAGTTCTTTTAAAAGTTTGGTGACTTGTTACAATTTCAACACATGCATAGAGTTAGTCCCTCAGTCAAGTAAATGAAGAGAGTGGAGACAAACATGCATTGAAACAAATCCAAGGATTAAAGCATTAGAAAGTATAAAATATACCTTCCAAGGACTAAATTGTTTATTTGCTCAAGAATTGAAGTTTCAGAGAACACATTTTTACAATCTTGCTTACGTTTAATAGTTCCATCATATATTTTCAAAGAAATGCCCCAATTCTCTTGGGAGGAAAACAAAAAAGAAAAAAAAAATGCTAGGATTCATCTCATGCCCATTGCACGGCCACAGAATATCACAGAATTAACTATTTGACAAATACAGATGGCAATTTCTTTTAGAATTTGGGGTAAAGTCACTAAGCATCAACGAACTTGAAGCCTTTGTTCAACCGAAATTGCTATTGTTAACGGAAATGAGATGCCACTGAGTTCTATATTCATTGTTAGAAGGAACAAAAATTTAGGAACTCTATAATACCAAATTCCTTTGCAAAGAATCAATATTCTACTCTAAAACAGTCCATGCAAAACAAAGTTCGGATAGAGTTAGTGTTGAAAATTGATGTTCAAGACCCTTCCCCACACGCACAATAATTTTATTAGTTATATCTCACTCTGCAGATAAACAGTTAGTTTCAAGTATCAATCGAGGTTAAAAAAATGATTTCATTGAAAAAACAATCTAATTTATCACGAATGACAGGGAAATTTCCAAGCTTTTGACCTACGAGTAATCGACAATTCTATAGAGGAGAAAAAAAAATCTATAGAAAGAAAATGGTGCAAAGATACTAAGAAGCATGGAAATATCCACGATTTTGAGCTCAGACATAATCAAAATCTCTAAACAAATAAATTTCAATCAACATACGAAGAACAGAGCGAGATAAAATTGATAGCTGGTTGAAAGTAAGGTCAACATACCTAATATCGTGTTGAATTGGCGGAACTGACCAATCAGCTCGAAAGAGCCTCCGAATTTTCACTGCCACCAGCAGACACAGAATCTGGTTCCGTCACCCGAGGGGAGGCCAGGGAATCAGAAGGGTTCTCATCATCCCTATGATCCGAAACAGCAGAAGAAAGAACGCGGTGTCTACTAGCAATGTGACTCAGAGTAGTCCTCAACCCATAGAAATCATCCTCCTCCTCCATCAATTCAGACAACCTCATCATGGCCGTTCTCAACTGCCTTCTGATCCTCCTTGCCTGAGAAACCCCATCCTCCTCTTGTTCACCGACCAGCTGAAAGCGACAAAGCGGGCAAGAATTGTGGTGCTCCAGCCAAGGCGTGATACAATCGGAGTGGTATAAATGCTTACACGGAAGCTGCTTAGCCTCCGCATCAACCCCAATTGTGTCCTTGCAAACCGCACAGAGAACCCCTCCAGGGTCAAGCTGCGATAGCAAGGAAGAGGTAACTACTATAGTGGGCACAGAATCAGAGCAAGATTTGGAGGTACTATTTGGCAGTGTGGAGAGCAGAGATAACGGGTCTTCAAAAGTGTCGTCGAACTCAAGTTCACCGTCGTCGTCGTCGTCGTCCGAGGTAAGGAGGTGGTTCTGGATTAGGTGGTGGATGTAGGGGGAGTCGAAGAGGGAAAGCGAAGAGGGGAATGAGTGAGAGTCAGATTGAGGGAAGAAAGGGGAGTCCATGAGTTCAAGGAAATGGGTGTGGCAGTGGGGACAGAGAAGAGTCGACGAGGAGGAGGAGGTTGAAGACGAAGAAGGGGAGGACAGAGCAACGCTCATGTCGCATTCGTGACACCAGTACGTCTTCATTTCTGCTTCCGCCGTCTCTGGCACGACGGTGGTGTCGGCAGCGGTGACGGTGGCGGAGGACATTTCTCTCCCTCTCCCTCGTCTCAGTTCTCCTTCCTTCTTTCCCTCCGTCCTTCCTCTCTCTCTGTGTCGCAACACGTGACGTCGAGAGTCGGTAAGGTGTTGTCGTAAATGATAATGGAGCGAAGGAGAGTGGGGCCCACTACCCAACTTTCGATGGTTTGTCTATCGCGGTTCGTCTAGCAGTGGTACTGGAAGCGAGTGGCATTAGTCAATCTGCATTTAATACTATATAAATAGTATGTAGGCTCCTGGAGCAACGATGTCGCTTTGGCCGAGTGGTTAAGGCGTGTGCCTGCTAAGTACATGGGGTTTCCCCGCGAGAGTTCGAATCTCTCAGGCGACGTATGTTTTTCGACTATTTTTCTCTCCTCTTTCGGTCATATTATACAATTATTATTAACAGTTGACCAGACTCTCTCCATGACTTTCCTTTTTTTTTTTCATCCTCAACCAACCTGTGGATCACTTGATTGAGTCCATGAAGTATTCTTTATTCTTTAGAATGACGTTTCTTCTACAAACATTATAGAGTAATTTAACTTGGGGGTTTTCTTTTCTTTTCTTTTTTTTGGTGGAAGGGAGATACATTGAAATGGAAATTCTATAGTGACATATATAATTGCACAAATTGGATGCAACAGACGTTGAAAAAGCAGTGATCCTTTGAGGAATGAATTACACACCAATAAAACTTTAGATTAATCATACGGAAATTAGCCCCCAGCATGCGAGTTAAATGAACAAATTATAGTTCTAAGACTTTTTTATCTAATCGATATGTGTCTCAGAATGTGTATTGGGATGTTCGTTAGAGCAAGTCGCACTCCCCCCTCCCCCGGGGTTTTGCCAGCCGCCAGTTACTCGCTTGAAAACAACACAATGGTATAATTATGATAATTGATAACCGTAGTCATAACATTACATACTTTCCTGAGAAAATGACATGGAGAGACTAATAAACCAACTTAATTAAAGTTATGGACCATAAGTTGTTGAAAGTTGAAACTACAGCAGTCAACAAAGGACTAGGTGTTTTTTATTTTATTCTTACAACAAGGTAGATAGACAAAAATGCCTTTACATAGTTGATAATATAGCTCAATTGTAAATTATGAATATTTATTTCGAAATCTCAAAAGATTATGAATAATTTAAAAAATCAGTTGCAAATTACTTATAAATTGTAGAAAATTTTTAAATCTTAAAAACTTAGTCTAAGTTTCAAAAGTCCAACGATAAATATTGTAAAAAAAAATACAAACCAGTTGTAAATTTTGGATCAGATTTAGACATTTTAGAAGTTAATAAAATGATTTTTTATTTTTTCTTTCTTTGCTCCGGTGTTCTAAGTCTTTGGTTTGGGTTAATTTAGTCAGCAGCTTGCAGGCATCACTTTGGGATAGACTAAAGACTTTTAGTTGAGTTAGATAAATTCTCAAGCCAGTTAATTCAACCTCAATAATCTTGTTTCAAAAATGGATTCTTGTCCTTTTTTTATAATTAAGCTTTTCATATTTACAAAACTTCCATAGCCTACAACTAATTTATAATGCATTTTCCAACTTCCGAGATTTAAACTTTCAGAATTTGCATTTGAGACATGTTACCCAAAACACGCAGATCCTTTTTGTAATTTTATAAACCGATAGTTCCTAAATGTAATTAATTTTTAGTATAGTGTCTAAATGTCATTTCCCCTATTTTTTTTTATACGTAAATGGAACATGAAAATTAAAGATCCCATGATATCATTAATTACAATTAGAAATCCTGAATCATTAAAATCTGGTCCCAATAATGAACCATGATTTTACTTAGAATTAAAAACATGAGTCTACAAAATTATCTCTTAGTACTAAAATCACTGTTATGAGTTGGGAGTATTGTTAATCTCAATTAGAAAAATTATATTCTACACTTGAGAATGGAATTAACAATTGTCCAACCCCTAATAATAATTTCAATAATCTCTCAACGCATAACACTTTGGATCTTAGTTTTTTCAATTGAGATTAACAATAATTTCAACCTATGATAGTAATTTTAATAGGATCTTTTCTCAAATTTTTAAGTGATTTTCCTATATATTAACAAGCACACAAATTTATAAGTGATTGGCTTCATATTTAAAAATCACTTTGACAAATTTTCAAATGACTATCATATATTCATAAATACTTTTCAAAAGTTTTGCAAATGAATTTTAGTTTCATACTAGAAAATAACTTATTCCTAAGTGTGGATTTTGATTTTCTCAACTAAAATTAATAATAATTCCAACCTATCATAGTAATTTTAATAATGTCTTTTTTTATTTTTCAAGTAAGGAAAATTTTATAAACTCATGTATGATTTTAATTTAAAATAAGGATCATGATTTATTATTAAAATTTTAATAATTCAGAATCCTTAAAATTGAGCAATGATTTCGTGGGAGCCTTAATTGTCATTTTCCCATAAATAAATTCCTTGGCGATTAAGAGTTCTCATCTCAATTGTCCCAAAAAGAATAAAACCTCATCTCAAGTAGGGGAAGCATATTTTTTTGAAAACAGGCAAGAGTCTCGTGAATTGGACATGATTCAAAAGAATATATATATTACCTGAAATTGTCCTGAAATTGACAACGACAATAATTTTTTTCATTTAAAAAAAGAAGGAAAAAAAAAACAAAGACATGGCAACATGTGAGAAAATAACAGAGCATTGTTTGGAGCCAAAATGAGTAGATCCAACCAACTAACTGAACATCAAAGTAACATTCAGAGATAACATATCAACACAAAATCCAACCACTTTACTTTGAAAACTAATCTCTTCCACTTTCACTCATGGAGTTGCTATCTCCACTTTCCCCCACTACCTTCTATGTTTCCATATCCACACCTTTCATGATAACTCCACACAAGCTTCCAATTTCTCTTCCATCTCAACCCTCTCATTGTTCTCAATTACTCTGTCTTTTCTCCTTCTTAAGTCTCCATCATTACATACTTGATTTGATCAAGATATGCTCTTTCTTTCTTTCTTTCATTCATTTATCTTTGAGATGCAATATTTTCAGTTACATACAAATTCACAATTACTTGTTCTTTTCCCCACCCAGGTTAAAAAGTTTGACACCCACGCTACTATTAAAAAAAATCATTAAATTAAATATATCAGAACTTCTTGCCAATAATTAATATTACTATCGCGGTTGTGAATGGCATTTTAAGGCTTGTTTTTTAATATTTAATAATTCATTACAAGAATGATACTGTGAACAAGCTTTTAGTTAATAAAGTAATTAAAACTAGATCAATTATTGAACATGCCAATTAATGCACTAGTTTAAAGATTTATAGTTGTTTATATGTAATTGTCATTTCTTTTTATTTATAGCTCATATATCTTTTTTTTTTTGGTTTGATTGGGAGTCAAAAAGGTTCAACAACACAAAAAACAAACGAACGAACCAACCATAACAATATTTAAAAAAAAGAAAGAAGAAAGAAGGAAAGAAAGAAAAAGAACCATGATGAACACGTGTCTACCTTCCATCTGATGTTTCTAAAAAGAAATCCATACTTGGAAGTTACTTAAGAGGGCACAGTTATCCTGCTTAACGATAGATGGAAAAAAGAAGAAATGATCATGAATGAAACTTAACTATTGATAAATTTTTTAAAAAAAATTAAGATTTCAGTTCAACTAAAAATAATAAATTAAAATAATTTTAATAATAAAAAATCAAGCTATTCTTTAATTATTATGCAAGATTATTAATTATTAATTTTTTTATTTTACTTATTAATTAATTAATATAAGTTGTAAATTATATTCTGTCAGATTAGGAAAAATTAATCTTTTAGTCTTTCAACTTTTAACTCACTTGTAACTCACTTTTTCAACTATGACTCGCTGTGACTCAGTCCCTCAATTATAACTCACTACAACTCAATCCCTCAACTTTTAATTTATCTAGAACTTAGTCCTTATTTTTAAATTTTTTAAAAATTTTTTATCAAAAAAGAGGGATAAAAATGTTTATATATTATTTTAAAATACCACCTTCTTATTCATTAATGTGAGATATAAGCTAACATTAAAAAAAATTAACAAAAATTAAAAAACTAATTTGTAAGTGATTCAAAAATTGAGGAACTGAATCATAGACGAATTATAATTGAGGGACTGAATCATAGGCAAATTATAGTTGAGAGACTGAATCACAATGAATCATAATTAAGGGACTGAGTTATAAGTGATTTAAAAATTGGAGAACTAAAAGATTAATTTTTTCTTAATGTTAATAAATTATTAATTTAACAATTAAACTATTGATATTACTGTTTTTTATTGAACAATTGATACAAAATAATGTATAATTATTAACATATAAATTTATATATTTTATAACTCATTAATAAATTAATAAATGAAATAAAAAAATTAATCACAAATAATTTTACATAATAAGTAAATGATAATTTAATCTTTATTATTAAAATTATTTTTACTTTAATTTCTAAAATGAATTGAAGATTCAAATTTTTTGAAACCCACATTAAGTCTCATGGTCCTTAATTAAAATTCTTGAGGAAGAAATCTCAGCTTGATCAGTTCCGAAGAAAAAAGTCGACCAGCAAAATGAGATAGCATCGAGAGCTCCAGCTTCACTGTCCCAGAAGACATGGCCGCTATTCAAAGTAAAGCTGAGCGGAGACAATGTGCTTCAAAGGAGGATACAAAATTCACAGATCTACGTTTTCAACAGGTATGCAGGGCAAGTTGTCTCCCTTATTGGAAGATCAATATATCTAGAATTGTATTTAATTTCCTCTTCTTCTTCCTGCAGACAAAACCCCATACTTTATTATGACGGTGAAAATCCTCTGCTCGGATGTGGTAGACATGTCGATCAATAGCTTTCTCCTCAGGCTTCAGCTACATGAGGATCCAAATCATTCAATGAACAAATATGTTCAAAAAAGAAGAAAGTATGATGAAATTCCTGAATAGATCTGTTCAGATTTAGTTTAGCTCCACCATGAATAACATCATTCCTTGATTTTCAG